GGATGGAAAGACAAACCACAGACTGGAGAAAATATTTGCAGGTCATATATTTGATTTTAAAACTTGCATCCACAGGGCACCTGGGTGGCTCGGTAGGTTGAGAGTCTTACTCTTGATTTCTGCTCAGGTCATGATCTCAGGGTCATGAGATTGAGCCCTGCATCAGACTCTGTGCTCAGTGGGGAGTCTGCTTCTCTCCCTCTGCCCACCCCCACACTCACATGCTCTCTCTCTAAAATAAATAAATCTTAAAAAAAAAAAAACTTGCTTTCAAATGTATAAAGAAAGGTGTAAACTCAATAGTAAGCAAACACACAATTCAATTAAAAAGCAGGCAAAGATTTGGACAGACACATCACCAAATGAGCACATGTTAAGATACGCAACATCATTAGTCATTAAGGAGATGCAAATTAAAGCCACTAGGAGATCCCATTACACACCCATTAGAATAGCTGTTATTTCTCTTAACAAAAAATACTGACAATAGAGGCGCCTGGGTGGCTCAGTCTGTTGAACGTCTGACTCTTGATTTCGGCCCAGTTCATGATCTCAGGGTCATGAGATCCAGCCCCGAGACAGGCTCCATGCTCAGGGTGGAGCCTGCTTAAGATTCTCTCTCCCTCTGCCTCTGCCCTTTCCCCTCCTTAAAAAAAAATACTGACAATAGCTGTGCTGACAAAGGTGAGGAGCAACTGGTCTCTCATTCAGGCGTTGGTGGAAATGCAACAGTACGGCTACTCTGGGAGAGAATTTGGCAGTTTCTTATAAAGATATACATACAGTTACCGTAGAACCAGCAGCCCCACTGCTGGGTACTTACAGAAGAGAAATGAAAATTTGCATCTATGCAAAAATCTGTATGCAAATGTTCATAGCGGCTTTATTTGTCGTAGCCAAATATGTCCCTCAACAGGTGAATGGATAAATAAGCTATGGTATGTCCATATAATGGAATAGTACTTTTAAATAAACAAAGGAATAAATATTGATACACACAACTTGGATGGATCTCAAGAGTGTGCAAGTGCATGCACGCGTGCGCGCATGTGTGTGTTTGGGGGTATTTTGGAGCAGAGTAGTATCTCTGCATTCCAGAGGTAGTGGACCTCAGCAGAGCCCAGGAAGCCCTGCGCCCAGCCCTCAGCACAGCCGGCCTCCCCCAGCTTGGTACAGAGAGAGGCTCATCCCCATGGAGTCAGTCCATGGGGTCCGGCCCCACAGCAAGGCACACTCCATCTCATTGATATTTTCACACCAATCTCCTCTTGGGGAAGCTAGACTTCATCCACCATCCAACTGTGCCACCGCGGACGTTTCTTTCTAGTATTTTTCTCCCCTTCTTACAAACGCATGCCTTTTCTCCTCTTCCCTAAATCCCTCCTCCTCCATCCCTCTCAGCCATCCTCATTACCTTAGTGAAAAATGCCACCTCTTCATCAAAGGGAAATTTTATTGATCTGTAATCATTTAAGGTTTTTAGTAGAAAGACTATAATTGTGTACTATTGTCCTTACATTTAAAAAAAATTGATGTCACTTTTTTTTTTTACTACAAATGATGAAACATACAAGAGCATATGGAATATGCACATAGTGGTCCCTCCTCGCCTGGTCAATGTCCCGTGTTGTGGAGGGCTCCACCCCACAGGGCCAAGCCCTCCCCGTGAACAGTAGGTCTGGTACCTCCTCCCAATTCCACTGAATTCCCTCTGGTCCTCACTTGTGTTATCAGCACCTCCCTTTGTAGTAAGTCATTTCTGCCGGTAAGCATCCCAGCAAGCTGTTATTTCTCTTAACAAAAAATGACATTTCTCTGGACCCCATTTCCTTCTCCAGTGATAGCTATTTCCAGAAAGTATTGTCTTCCACCTTTCTCCCCCTTTTCTCTCTGGCTTTTGAGACCTTCACCAGCTCCTCCCAACACCAACCTCCCTCACCAAATCCATGATGCTCTCCAGCCGCCATCTCCGTGGCCTCCTAGCTGTGCTTACACAGGTGTTCATTCTCTTCTCTTAAAGCACCTTCTTTACTTGACTTCTCAGGCACTACACTCTCCTGGCTTCCCTTCCACCTCTCTGGCCCCTGCCCCACCATCTTCCCTCACCATCCTTTCTCTGCTGGCTCCTTTGACCCCCTGATCTGCAAAAGCTGTAGGGCCCAAGGCTCAGTTCTTGCTTCCTTTTCCTATACTCATTCCTCTAGTGAACTCATCCACTCTCATGGCTTTACAGACTAAATTCCATCTAACTGAAGATCCACTATCAAGTTCAAGTTCCCCCATGGAAAAAAAAAAACACTGCCAATTGAACTCTTATTTCATCATTTGCAGGTGTCCCTGGACTGCCCTGGGGTTAGTGGTAATGCTTCTCGGCCCCAGCCCACTGTGCGGGAGCAGGATTCAGACTCTTCTCTCTATTCTTTCCTCCCAGTTCTCTTTACTACCCAGCTGGTGGGATCCTTATATGGTCTCAGGGAGGTATCACCTGGTAGATACTACAATGAGCCCTGCCACATATGATTGTGCATATCATGGACTATGTAAATTTACTCTCTGGGGTTGCACAGTGTACCTGCACAACTATGTATTATTGTCTGACTTCACCCATTTTTCCATATCTATTTTTTTTCTTTCCTCATAATACCCTGTCCTAAACTTTAGAAACTTAAGAGTAAGAATGAGACTCTTGAGTTCTGTGCGTTCTTCCCTGTCATCCCTGAAGTAGTGGCCATAGTCCTGGGCTTTGCTCCAATTGAGCACCGCTTACCCCCTGGGTGTGATTAGAGGTAGCCAGACCCTAGCTGACATAGGCCTGGGAGCCCATGCTGGAACCAGTCATAGTGACAAAGGGTGACATTCACTTGTTTTGCTTAGCCTAATCAAAGCTCTGCCCTGGGTATGGGGGTGGAGTCAATCCCAACCAAGTGTCAAGGCTGCCACTAACAAGGAAGAGACAGGATGAATGGCGGGCATCCATGGGTCTACTCCACGAGGTCTAAGGCAGGGGAGGTATTTGGGAGATGGAAGTGACTGGAGCCTGTGTTGAGGTCCACAGACAGGAAAAGGTTAAGGATGTTGGAGGGAAAAGGCCTATATTTGATTAGGAACAAAATCCTAGGAAAGAAGTGAGGATGGAGTGAGGGGAGGTGCTAGATTTGCAACAAGGGGATGAATCGTCTCCCGGGAAAGAGGGTGGTGGGGAGACATGTTTGCTTAAGTGATGGAAGGACCATGAGGGACGTTCCCTGATGCCCTCATGTCCCTGATTGGGAGGAGTGCTGTCTGTGCAGACATTGGTGGCATGTACTTCTTGGGATGTGTCGGTGGGTAATTCTAACTGGCCATCTCCATTAGTGAGAATTCTTACTGTTGTAAGGGATAGGTCACTCCAAGGCTAGGATTTTGATTTACCTCTCAAATGAATAGAAAAAACATCTACTTTACACACATCTGCAGAATTGGGGAGAATATACCATAATGTAAGGGGATGTATGTGCAAAGATTCTTTTAAAAGTTCTCTGTGGGAATTCATGTGGCCTGGTGGTTAGGAATGTGGGCCCTGACACCAGGCGGCTTGGGTGCCCATCTGGGCCCTGCAACCTTGGGCAGGCTCCTGGTCCTCTCTGTGCCTCAGTCTTTCCTAGAAAGTGGGGGATAACCTTACTCAGAGGGCTCTTTTGAGGATCAGAGGTTGGAATACCTGTGCATGTTTAGAAGAATGACTAGCATCTAACAAATACTTTTCCATGTGAGCCATCGATATTTATAAGAATCCTATGACATGCTAGAAAGCACTGTCCTCAGACTGTGCACTCTTCAGGAATGAAACTTCATTATCTTACTAATTCGATGAAACCTAAATTTTTCCAATGCTATTTTCATTGGTGAAGGAACATGTGGATGTTTAAAAAGTGTTTCCATGTAGCCATGTTCTGAGCGTCACCATTGTTTTCCTTCTGGTGGAATATGCAGAAATTAGCCAGTTGAAAGAGAATCCACTCTAGAACATTCTGTATTAACAATTATGGGAAGCAGTGCTGCTGATATGCCTTAATGAATGTTTTGTTTATGAATATGCTGGGAATAGCCTCCCCCTTCTCACTAGTATTCTCTCCCTACCTCCCAGCCCAAATGAGAAGAGCTCTGGATGGAAGTTCAGTCAGGAATTAAGAGACAGCATTCATAGGATTATTCAGTGCAGCACTCTATAGGAAGGACACAGTTCCAGTGACCTTCCACAGTGATAGCTCAAACTGCTGCTTGGAGAGGAGGCCCAGCTTCATGTCTGAGGCCTTGCCCTAGAATATTCCAGAAGCTCATTGTAACAGTGTTGCTGTGGAAGAAACCACTGCTAAAGTGATGAGGCCTCTGGCAGGGTCTTCCCAGCAGGAGGGTTGTGGCCGCCACTTGGAACCTACATTTCCCAACTATTTCAAATTTCTGTAATTTATTCCTGGTGATTTTTTTTAATTGATTGTGTTTTTTTAGTTCCCTCCCAGGGATTAATGAGTTGACTTAATACCAGTCTTCATAAATAAAATAAAGTCTGGCTTTCTACACATAGGACAAAAATCGCAACCCAGAACCCCTATTTCAAGAGCCCTTGCAGACTCCTGGCTTTGGTGTGGATCTCCCATGGCTACTGGGCCCCCACAAGCTAAGAGATGTCTCTCGGGGATGACCTACGGCCTCGCTGAAGCCCCATCTTCAGGCTGCTCATGAGGCTGCTGACCCCATCCTCATTCCCTGTTCTCCCCTAGAGAAAACACTGCAATGAATGGCACAACAAAGCTAGCCCTAAATTCCAGAAAACCAACAGGCATTCCTCTCTCCTGGGGGAAAAAAAAACCTGCCAGAAATGAAAATATTTGGCCAGTTGGCACCCTGCAGCTTTCACAAGGAAGTCAAAGCACTTGGGCCTGATACAAAATGCCCTGATTTTCCTGTTAAAAGAACCTAATAGAATGCTGAACAAGTAGTCATTTTCCCCCAAGACAAACCTCGCTGTAAATGGAAACTGGGTCTTTTGACCCCTCCGGGGTGAGGTCCACGGCACACAGATGCTCCTTGCCTGGGTCTTCTGTCTTCCAACAAAACATTGTTTCCTTATTTTCTCTATATCCTTTAAGGGTCTCAGACTGTGGCCTACACAGCAGGAGGCACTAAGTCAAAACGTGTCTAAGAGCATCAGTGTTCATGCATGGCTTTGCGTGTGTGACCTTCCAGAAACCATGGTCGTCCTAATGCAATCACAGCCGCCCTTCTGGGCTTCTCGGGAGGCAGCTGAGCATCACGTGGATCCTGCTCTCCTCCATAGCCTCTCATAATTTAAAAATGCAAGAAGCTGTGGAAGACCGCCCCACCCGCGGTATCATTCCAGAGAAAACCGGGAAGCAGAGGCTCCTCTCTGTCCTTGCCCGTTAACATTCATCAACAATCTTTTAAAAGTTCGATTGCTACACCTTCATTTCATTTCTTGGGATTTTAATATTCATTTCTGGCGAATTCTTGAAGTCTGAAAGACGGACAGAAAAGATTTTGGAAGTCACTTAATCCTCAAAGCAGAGCACACACCCTGCTCATAAACAGCTTTGAAGAGATCCGGATTTTAGATCCCATAATCTATTATGTCAGAGGAAGATATGCAGAAGAAAACATGCCCTGAAATCAGTCTTGCCAGGGCAAAAGTAGACCCAACCTCCTTAAGGAATGAGACCATATTCCATTCTCCCCCCTTCCCTGAAATGCCTTGAAATGAGCAAGCGGTTCATGGGAGCTGTGCAAGATATTACAAAATTGCAGTGTATATTTGAAATTCACATGCGCCTGAGATTCATGCATTTTGTTGTCCTGTGGTTCACATCTCCTAAATAAAACATTTCCCCTGTGTAGGCGCTCCCGGGGGCTCCAGATGAGGTCAGCGTTTGGGTGGCTTTGCCAGGGTCAGAAGGCTGCTCTTCCAGGAAGGGCTGCAGAGACCCTGGGAACGGGACCAGCCCAGCTCACAAGTATGAAGAGAATGTCGGAGAGGAAGTGGTAGCTGTGAGTCAGCATGAGTCATCTCGTTCCAATGAGAACGAAGACTGAGGTGTGCGCCCTTTTTTTTTCTTTTTCTTTTTCTTCTTTTTCCTCTTTTTTCTTTTCTTCCCCCCCCCCCTTCTCTCTCTCTCTCTCTCTTTTTTTTTTTTTTTGGTCTCAGCCTTGGGGACATGTTCGGGAATGGAGGGGAATAGTGACTGGCTGGCTGTTCTGAGCCCGGGCTACTATTCCAGGCCGGCTGTGCCTGAGCCCGTGTGTGCCCCAGACCTTCGCGGCTCGGCGGTGGGAAGGTGGAGCCAGCGGCTTCTCCCCGGTGAGTACGTTCCTGTCATTTTTACGATCATTTCTAGCGTCTGCCTCGGAGTCTCGGATGGGTTAAAGCTGTTGCATCTTGGAGGGGGTACTGCCCTCGAGACTTGGGGGATCCCTAATTTTAGAAAGTTGCTTCCTCTGCCCCCACCCCCAGAGCTACTGTGCGGTAGCCTGCTGTCTCGGTGGTTAATGGGGAGAATGTCGATCCTTGTGGTACACTGTGTTTGTCCCGGCAGAGACAGGGATGCTGGGCTGGAAAATAAGCTATTCCAGACTCGTCTCTGGAGCCATGGTGAAGTTGAGAGATGGAGGTGGGTGAATTCGTGCTAACCCAGGGGTGCTGAGGCTGGGCCAGCTTCCGCTTCTCAGAGGTAGAGGAAAGACAGCCCCTGAGAAATTTCTGGCCGCGTGGTCTGAGCTGCCCAGTTTTTAGTGCAAGAAAATACAATAGAGAGGCAGAATTTTGGCTTCCCTGTCTATGACCCTATGAATGATTCTGGGAACTTATTTTATGTCTTGTCTTTTCACTTGTGACTGAATGTCACAAACTGTGGTAAAGTCAGAAAATTTGTGGGGGGCCGGGGGCTTGGGGGCCAGGGGAGCTGGGCGTCAGGACTGGGTTGTTGAGTCCTTAAGGCTTGATATGACCTTGATAATGTGTTTCTCAACCTGTTACTATTCTGATGAGGCTTAGCTTTACAGTCAAGTAAAATACAGGAAACTTTTTTTTTTAATGTCATTCTAGTTACTGTAAATGAAACGGTTAAAATGTCATAAATACCTTGTGATAAACATTTTTTGAATTTGCTTAAAAACCTGCACATCAGTAAGCAGGGTATGACGGGGAGCTTTTTCAGTAGAGTCATTTGAGTGTGTGGGCTTTCTGGGTTAATAATGAGTCAGCACCCAATTTCTAAAATTGGAACATCTCTAAGAGAACAAGCGATCTGCCCCCGAGCCCAGCACGGTGGCTGGCTGGCCCCTCCAGGAGGATCTGGCTGTTTGGTCTTTGGTTAAAATCAGCTCTGAGTACCTCCCTTGTGTGATGCCCCCCTCCCAGCTTCAGTCCCAGCTCTTGTGTGTGGCTGCGAGGCCCCTTTGCTAAGGGGTCCCTCTGCCAGGACCCTCCCCTTTGGCTACTGTTGATTTTTAGGGCCTGCCTTGACAGAACCGGTTAAGCCTACGGTTTATTAAATTACAAATCCAGAGTTTATGGAGGGCTGGGATTGCCTAGGGTGAAACTGCGGCTCCTGTCCTGTGATGTCACACCTGCTGAGGGATGGAGTGGGAGCAGGGAGCGGTCACAGCCTGAGCTTTGAAGCCAGGATTCCTCGTGTTTCACACAGCGAAGGGGGGGGCAGGGGGGGCGCCACCTTAACATCAGAGAGCAGGATTCCAAGGAATAAAACCTCCCTTGAACCCTACTCTCCTTATAAACGGAGAAGAATGTTACGAAAAATTAAAAAAAAAAAAAATAGCTGGAGTTGCAGGCTGGTGGCCCAAAGGCCACATGTAGTCCTGTTAGAATCCACCCTCAACCCCCTCAAATTCTGTTAGCCTACCCAGGATTGGTGGTGCTTTGGTTTTTGTTCTGTTTTTGTTTTTTGTATTCAGATGACTATGGGGTCTCATATTCTTTGGATCATGGGCCCTGTTGACCCCTAATGTGGCAAGGCTCTGATAGCCTTGGGCTTCCAGACCAAGGTTGCTGCCTGCCTCGGAGGGACACTGGGAGGGCTCAGAGAGTTAGCATTGCCAAGTGCTTCCAACAGGGTCTGGGCACAGAAGAGACCCCCTCGATGTTAGCTCCGGCTGCCTCCCTTCTCACCTGGACTCTGAAGGCATCTGGGCTTGTGGCCCCTGAGTTAGTGGCATGACTTTCCCAAGCGAGATCTTGTGATTTCAGTGTAATCAGTGGCAGTTCCAAGGCTGAGAGTCTCAGGACCAACTTGGGGCCTCAGCAAGGCAGACAACAGGGGTTTCCAAGGTGGGAGCCCAGCCCAGTCTGTCTCTCTTGGTGAGGAATCTTTGTAAGCGCTCGGAGAAATGCCATCTTCCTGGAGAGAAGAGCCCCAAAAGGCAAAATGCCCTAGGCAGCGCCTCAGTGGCTCGTGCATACTAGCATTCTTTCCTGTCCCCATTTCAGAGAACATGCCCGGTGTCAACATGTGTTCCTCACCGGGTCCTGAGTCTTCAAATCCCCCTGGATGAACACCGTTGGGAAGTAGTTTTGAGGTGGTTGATTTTATTGTAGACATTGATTGTATTCTTTCATGTAGAATTCGGGCAGTTGTATGAACACTGGAAGCCAATTTACCGCTTACCCGTGAGAAATAAGCCTGCGGTGAACTGATATGATCACTTTTATAATCAGGAGAGTCATTTAAAAAGGCCAGAAATAAGACCCCGGCAGGTCTGAAAATAGAGCATTCATTAATATGATTTGCTGCTTTGTCATATTTTCCAACTGCCAAAAGATGCTGATTCTAAGTGAGGATTCAGGCAGGGAGTAAAAAGGGAAACCATCTACAAGAGAAAACGGAGCAGATATTTTCAAAGGACACCTGCAGCAAAAAGAAAATGCTGACAGTCTGATGACACTCGGAAATGGCCCAGTGCCCTGTTGTCATGGTGCCCTCAGCTTTGAGACTGGCCTTTTGCTTGCTGGCCCTGTCTCCCACTCCACACTATTCATCAGCACCCCTATGCGGGCTTTCATTATGTCCTGCCAAGAGGATTTCGTGGTACCTGACAGGTGCCCCATCACCCATTGCCATACAGAGAGCTCACCCTCACATTGAGCAACTTAGCTTCCTGGTGTCCCACGTTCCTCACTGTGAAATGGAGTTAATAATAGTACCAGCCTCTTGGGTCCTTGTAAAGATCAGTGATGATGAGCACACCAGTTACAAGCTATTAAGTACCCAATCACTGATTTGGACATACACCCAGACATCTTTCTGTCTCGACCTGGGCCCTGGGCCCTGTGGGCACCCGTAAAGAATTGGCTCTCGTTCTCCTGAAGTGAGATACCATCTGTGTCATGTTCTGCATTTGCAAGACGTCTGTTGATTAGGTAAATGGGAAATGCTTCATGGTTCTCTCCAGGAAGACCCAGGGTACTAGATGTTGTCACCGACATCGTGGCCATCATCATCACAGTGAGGACAGCTCCCCTTGCCCTCAGCCCAACCACATGGTAGTATCTTTCTGTGCATTTCCTTTAACCCCCGGCCCCCGACGCGCACACATACCCACCCTGGAAGACAGGACGGACGGCCAGTTGCTCAACTTATTCGAGGTGCACGCGTCCCGGGCAGGTGAATCAGGCAGAGTAGCTGCTTTGAGGAGTGCGTGGCTGAGGGGGGTGCCTTTGCCTCCATCGGCAGAGGAGAGTCAGGAAAGGCAGGGGACCAGGAGGGCGCTGTCTATAATCCAGCAGACTGGGGCCACCGGCCCGAGAATCCAGGACCACTGGCCTCAGACCAGCTTCGAGCGTGGAAGCAGCTGGACGCTGTACCCATGCTCCCTGTCTAAAGGCAGCTACAGTCACCTTCTGGTTGTTTGAGATTCAGCCTAGTATAAGGAGCTGACTCATATTGAAAATATTAAGTAAGATACACTGAAAACTAAAACGAGGCTGAGCACAATGTGGCCTTTCCTTGCCGATTCTGAAGATACCCAAGATGATGCAGGGCGTCAGGAGCTAAATCTTCACGTGCATCCTGTAGGGGTCCGAAAGTAGTGCCAACTGTGTCCCTTTGTTCAGTTAGCCTTCTCTGGTACTCACAGCCAACATAAGGCATCGGGGGCTTTATACACCTCCTTTCTGAAAGTCAGGGCTTTGCACGCTGAGCATGGCTGTGTTGTGTTGGCCTGTTATAAATGGTGCCACTTGGTGGGCAGTTTTGTCCTGCAGCTGCCACCTGTCCCCAAACCCAGAGGACCCTCTCCGCTCCCAGTGCCGTGGCAGGGCAGTCGTGTGCTTGGCCCAGTGCTGTGGGGCGGCACTTGGGCTCCTCACAACGTCAAGAGGGTTCTGGTTAGACCACAGAGCTCAGGCGAGGGGAAGCCAACGGTGGATCAGAAGGAAGTTGGGTCCACAGGAAGGAGGAGTGGTAGGGAGGCTTGTTTGGTCTCAGATGATTCCTCTGATTAAAAAAAAAAAGAGAGAGAGAAACACCCAGTTTTCTTGCATTTTGTATATGAGAAAAAGTTAATGGCAGTGGCACATCTTATCCATTGTGGTTTTCCTGCTTATCCCTTGTTTTTAAGATCGATTACCCTGCAAGGAAGGGTTTCTGCCATGGAGGCTTTTAGCCTTTCCCTCCACGCTGCCCTTTCAAAAATGCATCATACTTAAAATAATGGAATTTCTAGCAAAGGCATAAAGGCATCATTTTAGCTGTTCTCCCTGGACAAGTCATTTATAGAGTGTGAGAGGGATGCATTGGTTTCTATCAATTTAGGCAGATATAAA